ATGAGTTTTTTTTTTTGAACTGAATGTAATAATTGTGAAATAAAATTGTGAAACTGCCGAAATTAAAAAGAAATTGAATCAACCTTAAAGGGCCTCAGTGTTGCCCGAGTAAACGAAAAAAGTAATGACATTAATAACAATAATAACAGTATTAATAATTATAATGATGATGATGATGATAATGATGATGATGATGATGATAATGATGATGAAAATCTGGCTCGACCCGAAAGTGAGAAGTGGAAGTGATCACTCTCTACGTTAGGCTGTCAAGCCAGTTGTGAACCGTCAAATGGAAATTCAGATTTGATTACACTTTACTTACCATGCAGGGAACCAAAATAAAACTCTACAGTAACATCAGTGACATAGTGGACGACAGGCACAAATGGTTCAACGATCCACATCACTCCGTTAATCATTATCTCGGTCAGCTCAGCTGACTTATTCTGGACCATCTCGGCAAACGAATATGTTGCATTTATGGTAAAATCTACCAACCACTGAAGTTCGCTCCAGATAAACTCAGCTAACCGCCGAAATCCATTCCAAGTAACTCCAGCAAACCACTTAGCACAGTTCCACAACAATTTTCCAAGCCACCTTGCTCCGTTCCACGTGAAGTCTGACAACCGTGCGAATTTTTCCTGTGTCCAATTAACCATTCCAATCCAGATGTACTCTGGTCCATTCCACCCTTTCCCAATCACTACCCTTGAGACCAGAATGCATTTCTTCCACATCCCTGAGGTCATTTCCAACGTACCGTCCTGCACCTGGGTCATTACTGACACTGTAAAGTTCCATATCCGGGATATCAATCCAGGGTTTGTAATCTCGAAAACCTCATCGTCAGAGCATGTCGTGTTTCCGAGATACTGAGGGATTTTCTTGCACTTAAAGACCTGACAATGATGATTTAGAGAAATTATTGAATATGTGAAATCAGAAAAAGTAGTCGCGTTAGTTTAGAACTTTAGAACATAAGAAGAAGAAAGTTAAACGGAACTTAAAACGAAATATCAAATCTAATACCTTTGAGAATTTAGACTTGGTGCATTAAAATGTTCCAAACGCTAAAAAGTGGCCCACGCGGCGGAGGCTTATTCCGGTTTCCATAGTATAATAGTCCAACTTAGATTTCTGACCCTCCACGGTTTCTTTGGTTTCTGTAACGACTCGCGCATTGCTGGTATCTAAAGCCGAATATGTTTTCTTCCCAGGTGAGGTGCTAGGTGGAGAGAGACGCTGCAAGAATTGGGTGTCACAATACTTGGCCCGGGAAACAAGGTTTCAAATTACGAGTAGGATATTTCTTGAACTGCATTTCCTTACAGCCGATAAGAGGTACGCCATAGTAATCAAAATTTCGACAAACCTTGTTGTCCCAATTTCCAGTCGTCATCATCATCTTGTGTTCGTAGAAATCATTCCGCCCGTGCCTCTCACTGACTCGAGTAAAAGTTTCTACACATAGAAAAGAAGTAATTTGGTACAGTAGTGAATTGTATTAGTGTAGTAAAAGGGACGTATCGTATGCCTACTAAACGTATTGAACAGAAACAAAAAAATCAAATGAAAATATTTTTTAAATGCCGCAAAAAATTTCAGTAAATTTTCGGTGGTTAAATTATTTTGTACTTCTTTCAGCGTCGCGTTCTTGTTGGTTCTTTACAATAATCAACGCTCGTTACTTTGGAAAATAAAAAGAATCTGGTGAAAAGTAACCGTTTGTGAAGCGCGCGCAACAAAGAAATGAACTTAAAACCACGCGCGCGCTACCATAGCAACCAGAAACATTTGTTCTGCGGAAAATGATTTTAAGTACTTTTCATAAGAATGTGCATCGGGAAAAGTTCAAACCTCTTTGCTTGACAGATTTAGCGACGAAAACTGAGCGAATCCCTTCAAAAAGTGTGAACCGATTGACATGAAGAATCAGCTTAAGTCTTTGTTGCTGAGTCCACAACAGTCATTACCTGCTGGGCGACTTGAAGGGAAAATGTTTTAAAAAGGAAGGAAAAATCTTACCTTCCAGTTTAGCTCTGTATATAACAACTGAAAACAAAAATATAAGCGAAAGCGCTATTAGTGCAGTCACCCACTTCATTTCCGATTCGTCTCCAAACTTTTTTTACTCTCTCTAGAAAAGCACAAACTAGCTCTTGCGGCGAAAACGAGTGAAGTGAAGATTGACGTTACAAATGCTTTTTTATGACGCAGGCCGCGCGTCAGCCGCGCTAGGTGGCCGCCAGACTCGGTCCCATGCAGGCTCTCGGTTGTTGGAGAGAAGCCAAGAGTGAGGCGGGCAAACAATGGTACTAGCCTCATTCCGCTGCAGTATCCCTTAACTACCACCAAGTGCCCCATGCGCCTCCACAGTTTCTGGTCTCAAGTGACTGTGAGCCAGGAAATACTACTTGTTAACAGATCATCACAGCCACGGGGAACATATCATCGACGTGAACTTGTCAAACAAGAAAGCGCCATCCATCCTTTATATGATGAGAGAATCGACCAGTGAAGGCTTTCATTGAACTTGAAAAGAAAGCTGTTTGTGGTTTAGAGCAACGAATTATAAGGAGCCAAAAGTAACGATGTTTCCCGACACTTTCAATGTTTCACAGTTCCACGTATGTACAAGTTATGACGTGGCTATGTCATTATCATCGTTTACAAACTAATGTGGTGGGGGTGGCGGAGGGGAGAGGAGAGGATAATCGGCGAAGGACTTGCATACCATCTAGAGGAGGATGACCTGCTTCTGAACTAATACAGGGACCACGATCAGTTAGTCTTGTGTGCAGACTACGATAACTTTATTTCTCACCAATACAAATCTACATAACTAAGCTAAAAGGGCAGAAAGCTTGGTTTTCATCCCGCTTTTCACCGCAAGTTACTTGAATTTTGCCATCTTGTTGTTAATAGGACGAGGTTTAAACCTGTCTGACTTGAGATAGGCCGCAATGGTAGGTAGTTCCTGCACAAAGAAACCACAAAGATAGTTTGAAAAAGTTGTCACTTGGCAGCATTCGTACGGAGTGACAAAAATTAAACTATATCCAAAGTGGTACAGGTGGCCTTATTCTCGTCCTCAACGGAGAAGCACATTAACTTATCATAACACACAATCTGGCCACAGTTAAAAACAAAGGGAACCTATCCAAACACTGACTGCACCGTCTCGCGATCAACATCCTCCTCTTCGAATAAAAATTGAAGACACTTACTATGGCTACAGGAAACTTAATGCCTACTTACCTCAATGCGTTTCAAGAAATCCTGAAAATAAGCGAAGTAGTTTATTGAGTAATAAAAAGATAGAGTAAATTATAGTTCAAAATGTATAAGGGATGCTGACTGGAAAGTAACGTTAGAAATTGTATGAGCAGTTGTAGAATACTTGTGAAGATGAATCTGAAAAATATAAATTAACTGTTTTTTTATGGATGAGTGCTCATCGAAAATTGCTCTGCACTGCTAAACGCCTCAACCTCCCATTAATACTTTCCTCTGTGTTTTATCCTCAGTACACAACATCATGGCAGTTTAATCAAAATCTAACTTGATATTCAGAAATTCCAAAAATACTGTAGCACAGAATTTCAAATTTTACAGAGAAGAATTTCTTTGACGACTTAAAAAATATTTTTCCTCCAGGGAATAAAAATCCTGTAGCTAACTACACCCATGTTAGCTCATGGTCCCTTCTTCCCTTGAAAAATCATCCCCTTGGTTCCCCTCTTTGGTTCCTCTCTTTCAAGGAAAAAAAAGACTACAGAAAAGTCCACTGATTTCTACTGAGTTTTAGCCTGTGATCAATTTATATTGTATTTTAGACCAACTGGGGAATATTCCTTGCACAAAGCTACTGAGAATTGAGAGGGCCACAAAATCTGCAAGCATTCACTTGAATACCACGAAAAATCATGTAGTCAAAGAAAGGTAACAACAAAGATGAAAATAACAAAAGAACCGAGCTAAAAAGGATTGTCCTCAAGCCTGACAGAAAATGGAATCTAGAGTGAATGAGAAGTGCTTAAGGGGCATTAATGGGGTTACCCCTAAAGTCTCCTCAATGAAGCACCTAAAGAACGCTGAGGTGTACAGGCGTGACGTTTAGAAGATATTCTTCCTCGCCTCAAGTTGAAATATGCATAAAAAAGAAAACAAATAACTTTTACCTTAAGGTTTTTGTGTGGCTCCAACAAAGTACTATCGAAAATTTGGTGTTCATCCATTATTTCATACAGGATAAAATCAACAAACGTTATCTGTCAAAACGAAAAATATTAAGACTTTCAATATTGAGGATTGTAGGCCGGATGAATGCTAACTATTCTACAGGAAGTTAGATTTGGTTTCTCAGAGGAACTGAACTTCATCAGAGTTTTCACAATTTATGTTCCCTCAAATAAAAGTAATCAAACATTAACCCTTTACACCCTAACATTAACCCTTTAACTCCTGAGAGTGATTAGCATCTACCGTAATTTCCGGTCGTTTACCCGCACGGCCGATTACCCGCACCGGCCGATTATTGCATACGGCGAAAAAAAAAGTCACCAGATTACCCGCACTGGTGGATAACCCGCACGTTGTTATTCAACTTTTTCGTGGCGAAAACGTGACATTAAGGTGATACATTTCAGTCTTTTAAAAGTTGTCTGATCCAACTTTCGAAAACTTCGAAGCGTCTTTGTCGAGTTTAAAGGTCAAAGAAATTCAGACGCGTGCACAATTCTGTGTCAATATTAGCATGTACTTTATTGATAAGATTATACAGTAAAAACACTAGCGGCCCATGCCCAAATCTCAACGTTTCATACTTGACAGAATGCGAATTTGTGGCCACAGTTTGTGCGAGCGATCGTTCAGCGCCATGTTGATTTGTTGAAAAAAAGCTGGGTGAGTATTAAAAGTTGAATTATAAAGTACTGTCGGCGATTTCTGAAAAAATCGATATCTCCGGTTCTACCGGGCCTAACAAGTCCCTTAAAACGGGAAAATTCTCTTTAGCTCAAGCTAGTGTTAAATGGAAATTTGTTACTGATGCGCCGGATATCTATGGATAATTTTTGTCACCATCAAGGTTTTGTTTTTACGCGTGCCGATAATAATTTGTTCGTCGCGCAACTAATTATGCGTGAAATAAACTCGAGTCGGCATCATGTTTTCGTGCCGCTTTGCGGCACTATTAACACAATAAAATTTACTTGAGAGGTGGAAACGCACGTTGGTGATATTTTTTTTTTCAATTCAACTACCACTGGATTTTAAAATTGTCACATAACCCGCACCTCCCTATTACCCGCAGTGGCGCGCGTTTAATGCAAAATCAACAGATTACCCGCGGGTAAACGACCGGAAATTACGGTAATTTCTCCTTAAAATGTCATCCCTGAATCACTCATCAAGGCCACGAGAATAACTGAAATGATCACTAACTAAGGAATCTCTGCATTGCTAACCAAATTCTCCTTGTCAATACCATAGGAAACATAGAGAGAACACTATGGAGAATATGCATACTGATGTTAGGGTGTTAAGGGTTAATATTCTCCACACTTTTCTCTCTACATTACCCATGGCATTGGCAAGGAAAACCAATTCTGAAATCAGGAGCTCCTTGAATTGGTGGTTTGTTCCTCAACTCTCATGACCTTTATGTTTGATTTAAGGGTGACACTTTAAGGAGAAATTAGAGGCCAGTCACTCTAAGGGGGGTGAAAAGGTGAAACGTTGGAAAAGGATTGATTAAAAGAGCTGAAGGACCCTCTCTGAGCTAAAAAACCAAAAAACTAAACAAAAGCTTAAGAAAACCCTATTCTGCATCAGGCCTTGATTGGCAAGTTCTACTGGTACATTCTTCAGCCTTAACTTGTCATCGACATTTGGATCCTATTACTTGTTTACCTTATCTCCAGTTATAAATTTCTTTTCTCCCAAAAATTCAGCAAATTGTTTAATTATAGGCTTGACATCATTAAGGTAGTTCTCTTTCAATGTTTCCTGCCAGGAAAGATAAATATTCGCCAAAAGAGTATAACCAACTGGCATCTACTATATGATTAAACAACAACAAAAAAAATCTACTGTTAATAAGCACACCTTAATAACGTCTCATTCAAAAGAGTAACATATTGCTAATTCAACAAGCCTTGACACAAAATGTCTGAAATGTCAGAAATCTATTTACAGATCAAAGAGTCTGTGTGACACCTCAGAAACTCAAGAATGAAAGCAAATAGCATCACCATTCTCCAAATAGGTAAGACAGGTAAGTTAAAACAACAAATAGCTAAAGAAAATGCAAAGAAAAAAATATTGTGAAAAAACTTTTTAACTAAAACCAAAAAAAACAAGTTTGTCTTTCTTCCAAGTAAATCAATTAATATTAAAAAATGAAACTCTTGAGCTGGCTTTTTTCTGCTGGCCTTTTTTCTTTTTGACTAAAAAACAATTGCAAGATAAATTTAGATATAAACAGGTGTTTATTGCTTGATAACTGCTCAGCAACTTTGCACCGTGCAAAAAATTAATGGATGTTTTAGAATATTCAAGCCCAAGAAATATCAAAACAATGGTCGCAATAATTGTGATAAACTACCAGTATGTTTGAAATTGAATAAATTATGTACAAACTACTCTCAAGTGTTAATACTCACAAAGTTCTGATTATAACACAATCCAGTAAACTTTTTGCGGAAATCCATGAGCTGCATAAGTTTAAAATAGTGATATAATGTTGACTTTTTATAAAATAAAATCATCATATAATTATTTTATACATAATCAAAATCAAAATGTCCTGTGACCTACATAGCAGGCTAAGAGATATTCAGATTTATAGAAATAACATACAGTTTTGATTACCACAACACAATTTTGGAAAAAAAGGCAAGATATTGTAGGCTTTGAGACTGAGCCTAAAGTAAAATGCAAAGAGGAATAATGTATACATTTTACTATCCTGAAAAATGAGTGTAGTTTTTCTATCATGGTGAATGCAAACATAGCAAACTATTCATCATTTCTCTAAAGTAGTGGTCAGTTCAAAATGTGGATTGCAACTTTTCAGATCATTTGAAGATCACAGGAATATAACAAAACAAGAAAATTCTTGCAACAGCTTTTAAAGTTCTTACTGGCAAAATTTTACTTAAGGAAGAGAAGAGAGAGCAAACCTGGTTTTCTGCAACATCCACCATTACTTTCTCTTCTTCAGATGTGCCACCTTACAAATTACAAAGAGCATTCTTCTTTACAAGCTTACCAGAGTAGAAAAATGTTACTGAAGTACACATGGAACCAATCATCTCTTGGACAAACATCATCATTAAACAGTTGAACCTGTATTAAGTGGTCAAATCTATTAAGCCATGGTGGTCACCCTTAAGTGAGTCCCAATAGCCTGTTTGTATTGTTCTTCATTTGTACTGAATGGTCACTCAAAGTCGAACCTCTTAAATCAAACTAAGAATAGTCTTTCAGGCAAAATTTGATCCATGTTTATCTCCCAAAATCAATGTTAGCAGTATTTCTGAGCAAGTTTGCAAATTAAGTGGTCAATTATGACATAAAATGCCACTTTTATCATTTTTTATAATAACCCTATTCTGTAGAACCTGAATTAGGCTATTAACCTAAATCAAGCGGTCTTCCACCATTCCCCATGGGTGACTACTTAATACAGGTTTGACTGTAGCTTGTATCTATCTTTGTAAAACTGATGGTCTCAAATGCTAATTAATCAGAACCACGCACGGACCTTTTATTGCATTTAATAGTGTTGTAAAACCAGTCCAAAGTAACTGAAATGACCAATCAAAACAAAGAAAACTTTTACCAAGAGAAAATAAGAATTAAAAGTAAAAACAAGAAAACTGTATGCCTGAAGTTCAGAAAAAGTAAGTGACCAAGGTTCAGTTGGTCTTAGTTTTGAATACTTTTGGTTGAGAGGGTGCAGAGGATTTTCTAGACCAATCTTAAAGCCAGATAAAACAAAATCAAAGCAATCAAAGTTAAAGCAAGAGTTTTTAAGTTCTGACAATAGCATCAATTTACAAGTTTCTATTTGCTTGAAGATGTCCTTTGTATTTATTGACCTTCTTTCCAGAATTATTAGTCAAATAATGGAAATGCACACTTACACAAATCATGTTTCCTTGCTATATGACGAAGTATCTGCAAATTGCATTTATTAGATATTAAGGAAGCATTAAGCATTTCAAATTAACAGATTATTTATGGAACAATTCCTATAATTTTATTGACTTACTGCATTACTCTGACTGATCTTCGTATCCCCATCAATGTAATAAGGAAGCTGTTGTAAGAAAGGAAATACAAAATCCATTAATACACAGCTGTATTTAATTGAAAGGAACTTAAGCACCCATAAGAGATCAGAAAGCAAATCTAGTTGCTTCTCACAAGCTTGGGACATCACCCAATTAATTGGAAAGTCCTTGGTTGAGCATCTGAAACTAAATCCCACAGACAAAAGATCTGTGGCAAGAGCCAAGGAAAATTATATCTAACTCTTGTCCATATCATATAAATATGTGCCCTTAAACATTTTAGCATTTACTAAACATTTCCTTGAGCAAGATATTCCAGGACCCTAATGATTTTACAGAGCCTCACTGAAAAAGAAAAATTTAATGCAAGAAGTACAAGAAGATAGTAATCTTGGGGATGTTTCTCCAAATAAATATTCCATAGTAAAACTCCACTTTACTAATACATTCTTTTCACCAAAACACATGCAGACTACATGGCTAATTAGAGAAAATACAGTGCTTTGAACTACAGTTTGTTTTGACTTGTCCAGCACTGAAAATATATTTCAGGTCATCAAAACCAAAGTTACATAGAACCTTTCCTGCAGAGAAACAAAAATGGCTGCAAGTGGGAGGTTGGAGTTATCAAGGGTTTGAGTTACTAACAATAAATTTCATTCTGTCAGAAATCCAAGGAAAATCATATCTGATTGTAAGGGGCTGACTATTGCTTTAAACTGAGAGACTAATTTGCAAAGACTTCATGGGCAAAGGACAATGCATGTTGACACAGCACACAGAATAGTACAGCAAAATGAAAAATTTGAAAATTCAAGATGCATTTCACTGATAAACATCTCATTCAATAAATGTCAAAAAATGTTGTCATTTTGGTTCAAAGAATGGAAAAAGAAAAAAGTTTGGGTCTCAGCCCACAAAGAATCACGCTTGAGACATATGCGTTTCACCCTTCAATTCTCTACTACTAAGCTCAGGAGAACTTGTTGGTGGGCTAGACCAGATACTAGGTTCACATGCCTCAACCATCCTGCAATTACCACTAGAATCAACAGTGTTACACCCTTTTTATGCTAAAATCAGCATGTACATTCTCCATACTGTTCTTCGTACATTTTCTATAGCACTGACAAGTAGAAAGAAGTTATGGGGTAACAACCAAGAGTGTTTCAAGTTTGAGATCATTTAATTCTCATGAGCCTAATGTTTGATTCAGCAGTAATACCTCAGTGTAAAGTTAGATGGTAGTCACCATTAGGGACTAGAGGGTTAAAAATGTTGTGTGTGCACACAGATAATGTTTGACAATCAATTTCAAAACTTACCTTCTTCTTTATATATTGAAACACTCAACACTTTCAAAATTACAAATCCTCCTGCTCAATACCAATCACATCTAATATATGAAACTTAAAAGTGGCCTAATGCTTACAAGTTTTTTAGTGGCTTCATGAGAAGAATTACAGTTAGATCGCACCATGGTTAGATCGCTCCCAGTTAGATCGCTCCAATCAAAGGTTAGATCGCTCCACTAGAAAGTTAGATCGCTCTATCAATATAAGTTACTTCGCTCCTAACATGAGTTACTTTGCTCCTAACATGAGTTACTTCACTCCTAACATGAGTTACTTCACTCCATGTAGAAAACTAAGGTAAAGGTAGCAAAACTAAGCTATCTAAATTTACAATTCATCAAATGACATGTATATCTTACTTAACAATCGATTAATATCGCTCGCGCGCCCTTCAAATAAATCTGAGTTACGCAGAGAGAACAAATGAAGCCTCATGTAACGGACTCACGAAGTGTAACCACGATCATTTATTCCATCATCGCTATACTTCTAGTCACCTATAAATATATATAGGTGGTTAATCTGAAGGACAGAGTGAATACAATCTATTCGAATCGTCGCAAGACATATCATCACCTATGAACTTTAAAGATCATTGCTAAGCAATACTTCACATTACAACATGAAACGAAGTACCTTGTTGGTAGCGAAGTAACTTATTTGATGAAGCGATCTAACTTTCTGGTGGAGCGATCTAACTTTTGGTTGGAGCGATCTAACTGGGAGCGATCTAACCATGGTGCGATCTACCCGGATACCCATGAGAAGGCCCGAGGGTTTGATGTTTGATTCTTTATGGGAGAGTTACGCTTTTCTCCCAGCCCCAACCTTGCTTAGAGTAAACAACATGCTACAGCTCTGTAGTAGATTTGCACAATAATAAATTAGCCAAGTTAGCATAGGGACAGTAAACCAAGTAGGCACTATTAGAAGAGCCAGCCTAAGTAGCAAACCTAAAGATCTTGTTTAAAGGATCTGAACTCACGTTAGGAAATGACAGTCCCAGGGTGTACTTGACTGAGGTCCAAGCCTTGGCGCTGTACTCTGGAGCTGAAAGTAAAACAGTAAAGAAACAGCGCTAGATTGATACACTTGATTGAAAGAAATACTGGATATCCATCTATGGAACTAAAAGACGTTAAACATTGACACTGTTTCTTTAATTATTAGTCATTATTCCTTGACTTTGGTCGCTATGTGCATGATCTATGATTTTCATATGTTTGGATTCTTCATGTCACCGGATGACAACAAGTTCAGACAATGCAAGAAGTGCCTGGTTTTATTACGAAAATGTTCCAACTTAAAGAAAACAATTAGAGCAAAGAAAAAATGTATTCATTCTAAGAGCTTACTTTGTGTATTCAACAGTACATGTACAGGGCTAGCTGCAAGAGACATTTGCGATTGGGCTGTTGATTATTCAACGCCACCCGCGAGTTATCAATGATCACGAGAAATTTAAGACACCTTACCATCACCAAGTTCATAGC